AAAAAAGGAAAAAAAAAGCAGTTATTTGAACAATATTTTACAAAAGCACAGACATGAAAATTTATAAATACCAAATGCTCATCAATTCCATCGTTTCCATGCAAAGCTATTAATCAATTTTTTTATTTTCATTTTCCCTTAAAACCTTCCCCCCTATTTCAACTCTTCTCTCATAGAGATCAAAAATTCTGCCCTGCATCTCTGTGGCGTAAATACTTCTTTCCCTTTACCAAACATCACAACAGTCAGAGGAAATATTACATTTATTATTGCAGTGTCGAATGATTCAAAGTATTCGCACTTATCAGTATACCAGAAAAACTTGAGGCATTCTGATAGCAGTTTGTTTTGCCTAACCTTAGTGACCACAGATATTACAGGTAACTTAAACTTTTGTATCGAATTGTCAAAACCTGCGACAACCTAACACTGAATCTCTACCTGTCACCAAAACCAACTTTGTTTACTTCCGAAGAAATCTTGCTTTACCTCTTCAACTTTTACTACCACGTGTTCTACGCCTCTGCAAGACCAAAACTGACATTTCAAAATTTCAGGTCTGTCAAAATCACCACATCTTTCGGCTTCTTGTGCTTCACCCAACAGACCTAACCCAGTCAGATCCTTCCTCTGATCAAAAATAAACGACTAGTTATCGCGACAGCGCACGGAACGGTCTCAAAAACCGAGAACTACAACGGTTACAGAAATAACCCCAAGTAGCAGCTCTTAGCGGCTATGCTAATCGGTCAGTGAGTACAATACGGGTATAAAATGGTAAGCTGAAATCGATTCTTATTGTTGTCCGAGTTTTCTCGTAATTTTTTTGCAATACTTTGCGTCGTCATAATTCAGGGTCTTCCAGTGATTTCATGTGCATTTATTATGGTATTTAAGGGTGCGTTATAATCCGTGCCCAGTTGTGGCTTGTAAAATTTTGGTCCCATTTGAGTTCAAATTTTTGTATTTGCGTTCAGTAGTTACTGTCTCCCCTTTGGACTAATTTGTTTTTCAATTTGTTGATAACTCTTTACCGTCATTGTGGTGGAAAAAATCAAAGGTCAAATGGTCAGCGTTTTTTTCCGGTACAAGTTGAACATATTCGGGACGACTGTATTGATTAGGTTAGCGAATTCGTGTTAAGCAACGTTGCTGATATTTATTTGAGATGACTTTCTCCTCACAGAAGCTTACACTGAGCTTTCTACAGTGCCCCGTTGCTCCCTCTATATGAATTACTTTCGCAGGAACCTACTGTTTACTACCTAATGTGTCCTACTTCGTCACTCAAAACTTATCTCGTCCAGTTTCTGCCGCTTAAGAAACTGTATCGCGCCGCAAAACTGGCAAACTAGCTTTATTTTTCCTAATTGACGTGCAATACAACAATTAACTCAAAATAGTGAGAGTAAATGATATACTCGAAAGAGTAATGAAAACTCAGCCAAAATTATAGTAAAAGCATAAAATAACAGATAATGGAGAAATATAAAATCAGAGACCAAACAAGAAACTGAAATTCAGGAAGACTGAGAAGTAAAATCTGAAACTGCCAAATCTAGGCACGACTAGGAACAAACTCCAGAAAACTCGTAATAAAAAACTTCTCAATTGCATTTGTCGAATGTAAGCAAGCTCCCTTGCAGAAATTTTATTTCTTTTGTATCAGTGCCTTCTACCACTTTGCTTTGCTACTTAATTACCGATTTCGACCTACCTCTTTATGTTCACAGATTTGAGCGTTTAAGCCCTAGACAGTTATTATACTTTTCTTTCCGTAATGTCATTAAGTGTTCTAATACAGTATGGATCTCGCAGATGATCGCGACAGACCTTCCACATAACTGTATCACTTTATTCCCCTTATTCACTTAATTGTAATGGAAACTCAAGCGCCACTATCTCTGTCAGTAGAACCAATATCGAATATAAGCGCGTAAAAGCTAATTGGCACAGTAAGCGTCCGCAACTACAGATGCTTACAGTAGCCAAGGATAGAAATTCAGACATAGAGAAGCACACACAGGCTTAAAATTAAAGATCTTGCGAGTTTTTGCGGAAGCGGTCGTTCCAAAGAAAGTAGAAGCCGGTATAAAAAACATATTTAAACGCAAACTTTCTTATGTGTCAAACCGCCCCAAAAAACTTCATGCAGGTTCTCATCCTACTTCTCTATTTCCCAGTAACTAAAATAGCACCTTCAGTTTCCTCTAAAACGATAAAGGCAAAACGTCAAGCAACTCAAACACGCTAAAGATCTGTCAAATAAAGCATCACGTACTTAAACAATGAGAACGACTAGTAATATTAGCACCAGAATTTTAGAACGTATTAATAAGGTGTTGACAGCTTATATAATTTAAATTGCTATTAAATGATAAAAATACCCTATTTCTCAGAGTCAAAAAAGGCAATTAAAATTTATGACTTTTTGTTAAAGTACAAACAGTTGAACATCGCCTTGCTTATAAAACTGTTAACTAAATTAGGATTAAATGGAAAAGATCGCAGAGGACGAGTATGCATACTAGACCAGATATTTCCTCAAATTCTAAAACTTCCCGCCAATCTTTTGAAATGAATTCATCAGTACAGTTGCAACGGCATTTAGCTCACCCTCTAATCCTCTTCACAATAATATAAACAAAGTGTATCAAACCCAATTTTTAGTTTAAGAAATACCGCAGTCCTTCCCCCTAGAGCATTCAACTTGTAAAATGTCCGATGAAACCCGTACCACGAAGCTTCATTTAATAGATCACTGAATAAACAGAAAACAACAATGGAAGAGGGGCAGAAAAAAGAACTTTGTCAACCAAAATTCCAACGTTTTGGCTGGAAAAACCAGGGAAGAGTAGCAAAACTCGGCAAAAAAAAGTGGCAATAAAGTCTCTATGTGATAATTTTTTTAAAATAAGACACATGAAATATACCTTGTAACAGAGAATTCCGGTGACCTTGACCAAAATTCATTATTTTTTTATCCCATTCTTAAAATTAACAGAGAATGAGATAATCAAAATCTTTTCTCACGGCTGATGATATAAAATCTTAAAAAAACCAACTATTTCTAAAGACGGTCAAAAAACCTTCTTGCAAAGCGTGCTTCATACGTATATTGCAGTAAACACCGTTTGCAGGCTATAAAAGCAACCACAGAGACGTTGCATATGGAATAACGTTTGATTTTGAGTCAGGGCAGAAAAGATCCTTAAGCGTTGTTGAAAGAAGATGAATTTGAATAGCCGTATAGATAAAACAGTTTTGCAGTAGAAGTAACCTCTTTTTGAAAAATAAAAATGTTAGCAAAATCATTAAACCTTTAAATCATCAGTCCCATCAACGCTCACGAACCACTGCACAAGGCAAATCCAACCCGCCTCGCAGCTAGATCCACGTTTTTAACTCGAACTTTAATGCGGCTATTTACCTGCATGAAAAAAACGAAAGTTCACCACTTCACCACTAAAAGAGAAAAATTTAAAACGAAAAACTCCACTCAACCTTAGGAGGTGTGCCATTCCTGTACTCTGAAACGTGCAATAACCCTGCGAATCCAATACCAATATCAATAAATGTACCGAACTGGGTATGGTTTGATACAGTCCCTTCAACAACTTGACCGGGCTCAATAGAACTAACGGTGAACACTTCTTTCTAGAAAAACCACATCTTAAAGAAGCATTTAAGACTATGAGAGAAGTGACAAATTTTGATATTTGGTGGAACCAAGATAAATTTAAAGGTGAAAAAGTAAGCAAAACGAACAAGAACTTGGAATTAAATTTCATACAAAAAGCTTTGGCGGGTTACAAACTAGCGTCGGTCTACATAAGAGTTCCCAAACAAGAAGATATTCCGCTCCAGCATTTTCAAACTGACTTTTACACTTCAAGAGCTTTGATTTGAAAGTACTGGTGTTGACGTCATTGATGTCAGCGTTAATCGTAGCTATTATTCTATAGGATAAAAAAATAATGGTTTCTTCTTAAGAAATAGGCATTAAGTAACGAAAAATTAATGTAATAAATAGCTTTTATACACTATCGATGTGACAAAAAGCTTTTTCTCTCCTTACTTTTCCGCGGTATTATAACTTTCAGGGTGAACTGGGGTAGCATCAAGCGGATTATACACTTCTGTTAAACGTCGTTTCTTTTTAACTGGTGTTAAACCACTGTTTTCATTAAAGATATAAAGAAATCCTGCGCACTGTTGAAAGGTTTTTGGCCCAATACCATTAATTCCCTACATCCAAGTGAAATAAGAGAACTATTAGTTATGATGCCTTTCTAAAAGAGGTTAAGCTTGAATATAAAAACCTGTAAAACTTTTCTGCTTAAAATCCTTCCATTTTCTTCCCGATATTTGATTATATTTGAAACAGTTTTCTTGTTTAAACCAGCAACTTTTCTGAAAAGCACGAAACTAGCACTTCAAAATATAAAAATTTACAGAACTTTCTGAGACATTTAAAAGCCAGAAGAAAGTTAACAGCAACACTTTAAAATCTTTAAAAAATACAAATAATTAACAGACGCTGGCGTTAGCAGCTAAATTAAATCTTTCACTGAATAACTAACTCCAACACTTGACTTGACGCTACATTGATATCGACACCAACGTTACTGACGCATTCTTTCACAACTTGATCTAGCATCTCGCGAAGAAGTTTTGCATTGACAGAGTGCTATAATAGAGTCCCTACGATAGACCTGACTGGTTTGGAAATAAAAATTAAAGTTTCAAATAAATAAATAGATAAACACCTGATAAGATCCAACTCCAAGACTCTCGGGAGGTATTTTCACATATTCAGAAATTGGATCTAGCACCCTTCGTGCAATTGAGACTAGAATAAACCTTTTTAGCTGAAAAGAACAAATTCCAGTAACAAAGAGAGGCCAGACCTGCACTTCTCAAATTGATGTCTATATCAGGAAATTCAGCTATACCGATATCTGATGCGCTATACACAGAAGACCCGCATTCCGAAACGACACTAAAACAAATGGTTGTGGAGCTAATAAACAAATTGTCATTAGACAAGTCAAATTTCCAATCAAAAAATACCAACCAGAATTCAACATCAGTAGGAGCAAAAGCCTTCTTACTGATCAGTAAGGCAACTGCTTCTTGAACAGATCTGTTCTCCTTCCCATTGCCCACAGCAATCACTACATGACGAGCGGATGCTTCCTGGACCAATGCAACTAACCTCTTTTCAGAAACTTCGTCAAGTAGAAAACGTCCATTGTGATCTCTCTGCCAAAATAAAATTCCAGTATTCATTAGGTTGCCTTAAAAAGTTTTGGTTTAAACATAATCTACAAAAAGAATAATTTTTCATTATATAGACAAAATCCTCAAGGTAATTTTTTAATCACGTTTCACCCACCATGTTTATCAACAAGAGCGCATTTGCAACCATGCTTAATACCAGGGTCAACTGCAAGGACAGGTCTTCCTTTCAACGGGGCGGTCAAAAACAGTTCCCGAAGATTACTGGCAAAGCAATCGACAGCAGACTCCTCAGCACGACTGAATAAGCGTTTCCTAAAATGACGATGATAAGGGTGAAAACCTCAACCCTTTGTTAAATTTTTAAAGAAAATTCTCCTGAAGTCAAAAAACCCTAAACTTTCTTTACGGCACGTTCGATTGAAGGTAAAAAAAAGCGCTTTGTCGAATCGGCAATTACTGATTGTATAAAAGGCTTGAATTTATGATGTACAGGAATCTTTAGGCCAGGGTGCTTCTTTTCTATCCCTCCACGTACTTCGACAGTCCACTTCAAATAGCCCGTTGTGCACCCTCTGTGTATTGCCAAAATCTAAACACGAAAAGCCAAGTTCAACTACCACAGTCATAAGGAGCTACTGCAGCAGCACAATTACCTGATGATCTTGAAACAATTCTTCTTTCTTCTGCAAAGCTTCGTAAAGCTCATATCGTTTGAATTCTGTCGGACTTTCTTTTTTTAGCTTTAGCCCCTTCTGCGTCACAGATGACTTCACCAGAAAACTGACATTGTGTTTTTTAGGACTAGTGATGCTGCAAAAATAACATCCTTGTTCTCCAGAAAAAAAAAAAAATGCCCCATGTAACGGTAAAAAAACCCATTGAAATAAATTTACAACTGAGGGCACAAAATAGGCATAACGCTTTACAAAATACTCAAAAAACTCTCTTAAAAACCCATCAACTTACGACTAAATTTACTCACACTTCTCGTAAAAACTTTTGCGTTTCCTCGTTACGATGTATCGCAGAAGAAAGATAATCAAAAACTGCTTTTTCAACCATCTCAGAGTTCTTTAATCCATCTGCAAAAAAAGATTACATCTACCAACAATTCAAAGAAAAGTAAAAACCTAACAATTCACCAATTCAATTATTTATTAAGAAGCAACCACTTTATACTAAAAGCAACTAGTTCCGGATTTCCGCCGGTACAAAAATTTTTTATTGATGTAAGAAGACTGTAAAAAATGGTTTTAATCTGCCTTTTGAGCGATCCACAAATTTGGCGAATTCTATGTACTCGCCTCGCATAATTTTTTGACACAACGGCTCGACCCCCAATTCTCTAAAAAGATTAGAATAATCATACAGTTCCCTTTCTTCCAGAGCAGTTTTTTAGTAAGAAGCGTGGGAAAGACAAGACTATTATCACAAATTTTTCGAGTTTCTCTTAAACTCTACAAAACCAACTGCAAAATAAGCGTTAATGTAATCCGCTTTTAACTAAGTAATAAAGTAACTTTCAACTTCCAATGATTTCGTGCTACGATTAGAGCTTTTCATTATACTGCAAAGTAATTTTTAGTTTTTGAGACCATTATTACGTGTAATAAAAATAATAAACTTACGCTGCTGCTGCAGCGAGAGTACGCTTCTTAGACTTTTTAAATGGTGCGATCAAACTCGTAAACTCATCCTCGTCCATGGTTGTCATAAGTGCTGACTTGAGACTCTGCTTTTGAAGCTCCGATGCTTGTACTTCGTCATCGAATCGCTTCATAAATTTCTCCACCTTAGCTTTAAGAGCTCTACAAAGACTCTGAGCAGTTAGTACCAATTCTGAAGCACACTAGGAAGAACCAGTCATAAACGATGAAAAAGTTCTAGTTCTTAACAAAATCATTCTTGAGTAGTCTGGAAGAAAAGAAGTAAAACTGTTATCCGTCAACAATGGAAAACAAAAAAGCAAACTTTGCATCTTCAAATGCTTTTAAAGCATGCCGAAGGTCGTCCGGCGAGGCATTTTGCGTCAAATGTCTTCTGTACCGAGCAATGAAGGGTATTTCATGACCATCTTCAAAAAGTTCAACTATGTTTTGCGAAACATTTAGATCAATGTTGAGCTGAAATGAAAATCCGGTATTAGAAAAACTGTTGTGAGCAATGACTGAAGATAGTCCTGAATCAGTCAGTAATTCATCGAAATCTTGAAAAGAAAGACTAACAAAGACCTCAGAAGCCACATAGTCCGCAACTGCCCATTTGACACTCATACTTGAGAATGCCAAAATCGTTGGTCTACCACAAACACGAGTAATGTAAAAAATTTACTGAGTGGGGAAGCTAGCAAGGTCTAAAATAAATACCATAAAACTGTATGTTTCTTCTCCAGTGAATCAAATTGGAAGAATTGAGAAAACAAATCAAGATAAAGAGAGAAGACTTCAAAGAACTAAGAATACATTTGCAAAACTCAGTCAACTTTCTAAAATATCCAGTATCTAAATTTGTCCGAAGGTTGAGAAAAACCCATAGTAGAAGAATATTACCTAAAGGTTATAACTCTTAGAACGACGACAATTCCTGCATCCGGCTGAGAGACACTTTGCAAATATAATATCAAAGGTTAAAACCAAAAAATAAAAAAGTTAACTTACTCTGTTTTTCAATAACAATGCCACACACATTGACTAATCAGTCTCCAATAGAACAACTCGAGAAATCCTTCAATTCCCAAACAGCTTTTTTTTTCGTCGACAAACGTCGAGACTGATATTAAGCCGAATTAAACCAGCTAAAGAAACGAGCGGATTCATAAAAACAGTTGCCAGCCTGATAGGACAAATGTAGGACCAACCGTGAAAAATTTTTAAAGAGTTTTCTTTCTCTGTTTGTAACATTTTTAGAACCAACTCAACAGCCAAAACCGTTTCGCGCACAATTTTCTGAATGTAATTTCTTTGTCTTATAAAACGACAAATTGATGAACGAAACTCAAATTATTATTAGTCGCCCTTCCTAGGAAAATATATATCCTCGGATACTTAACTGAGCAAATAAAATTGAAATTAGTGAACAAGAATCCATTACGATATCTGACGAACAACTTTTGTATACAGATCAAGGCATTTTAAGTTCCGAAAGTGAAGCAGATTTTAAATGACTTCGTTTTGGCGCTTTGGTTGCATTTAGTAACAGCTCAACTCGTCTTCTGATACACAGTCTCCCCTCCTAAGTGTCGAGAAGTAGTTCACCGGAACCAAAATGCTTTCCTGAATTATATAATGTTAGTTAACTTACCGACATGCCTGATGCCGAATTTTAGTATATTACTTCTTTTCAATACAATCATTTCACAGGATCATTGATTTACAAACAGTGAAGTCCTTTCCTATAAATGTCACTTAATTTGAAATTCGATTTTTGTTTGTGCGATAAAAATCTGGAAGGATCTTCCCGAATCATCAGCGATGGCGCAGAACTAAAATGTGTTAAAAACTGATTCAGACTGAACCCAGTAAGTTTCAACTGTCTACAGACACTTAACTGTATTTTACTAAAGGTTAGTTAGTAATTTTCTGTCCCTTCACTTATTTTTTTGTTTACATGGTAAGAGGTGTGCATTTGCATGATTATATATAAATGAGTAAAATGATTCACCCTGTTAACTTAGGCACAACATGGGTATAGACAGGATACATGAATGAAAAGAATGAAACTTAAGATAGGAAGGCACTTGAAATCAAATCTTATGTTTATAGAAACAGGTCACACCTATAATTCTGCCATTTCGCATTTGTAATCAAGGCAGAAATTGTTAATCAGTAGTGATTTCCATTTCCTCCATCTTCATACTTTTTGTGCAATTCTGTGCCTAACTACACACGGAAAAATAAAAAAAGAGGTATTTTTATCAATGCATAAAAATCACTGGTGCCGTGGCGTCGTTTCAGCTTCGAGCGCCCATTTCCGCCGTCAGATACGCCTTACATCCCTTAACGCCTCTCTCTCTAACGGACCGATTTAAATAAACATATTTGTTTCTTTCTTCACGCAATTTCCAATAGACATAGCTGTTTGACGGCTTTACATATTAATTTCTCAACTGCACCTCATCTTTTCTAATTCTTTCATATGCCGGAACTTTTGCCCGATTAGTGTATCATCTAAATGAATTGTAAAATGGCGTCAGAACTCTTTATTCGATGAGTAATTAACTCAATTTGAAGCTTTTCATTAGATCAATTTTAAAGTTGAAACTCAGCTAGGTGATATCAAATACAGATCAAGGAATCAAAGAAATTATAATTAACTTATAACTGTGGACTTAGGGGCAAGTTTTGGGAACGTACCAATCTGTTTTGGAGCTTTAGGCAAACTAAATTGTATATGTATTTCGAAATCGAGGAAAGAAGACACTATTATTGGTATAATTATTATGAAAATTGAATTCTTTCACTGCTTTGACTTTTAAAACGGCTTTTTACCATTACCAAGAGTTTTTTGATTTTCCAGTCAAATTCTGACCCAATTGGAAGTTTTATA